AACATAAAGCTACTTTTAAAATTACCTTCCTGGCTTCATATTCGGATGTTAAGGGCATCGCACATTTGTGCACCCAAGGAACTAATTAGTGTTATAACACACGCAATCGCCCTAACCTCGACAACTTTAGGCGCCCTGTGGCATTGCCTAGATGTGATTCCACGCTAGCTATAGCAGCGATATTGTAGTTGTAATGGTAGCAATAGCGCAGCAGTAGTTGTGGTAGCAGCAGGCGTGACTTTTATGCCGTAAAAACTGAGCGTATTTACATTTTTCGCATAAGAACGCGTCAAGGTACATAATACAGCGTAAATACAGCCTTGTACATAAGGACAGTACATACAGACTTGTGGAGTCCGGGGAGTGACAGTCAGATGCGCTGAATGGGTATGAAATGAACTTTTTCCCATGCCGTCATTGCCCTTGCCGACGGCGAGGTGGCAGCTGTGTTGCGGGTGCTGGAAATGGCGGATGATTGATAATTGTATGCAACTTTCACCATGTAATCTGGCCGCCCCGAGCCGCGAAAACACAAGAAATAGCCATAAAAATAACACCTTTTGCAAATTTACGTTTTACGTGCAAGAACATAAACATAAACATAAAAGCATAAACATAGACGTAAAAACCAAGCCTGGGTAGTAGCATCAGGCACAGAAAGGATGCTGGTCCAATCCAATCCAATCCAATCCAACGCCCAATGCGACAATCACGGCTACTCGGAAGACTCTTGTGAACCTCTCTGCATTTCATGGCGGTGCTAAGCTGACAACAAGGGGTTCATGCAAGCCTCAGCTGTGGCGTATGCATCCACTTCTTTGCAGGGGCATCCCTACGGGGCCTTCCGTATGCTTTCGGCATCTCAGCAACGCCGCCCCACCAGCGCCCACGTCTCATGTAGGCCAAAGCCTCTGGCGCTATCCATATGACCTTCAGAAATGCGCCGTCGCATTTTCCCAAGACTATTCTTCTTAGGCATATCTCAGGAGCAGTGGCAGGTCCGTACTTCTGTTGTCTGTCGGAATGGAGCAAGCGTTAGCTACTTGCTGAAATGCCAAATATACAGTACAATAGGGGCAAGGTTGGTCAGTCTATGATTGGGTGGCAATTGCTGCAGACATTTTATGCGCCCATGTGATGATGAAAGTGTACGGATCGTGTTGCCCACGTCGCTCCAGTGAGCTTGATGCTCTTCATTGGGGGTGTGTCATTTCGTTGAGCCAAACACGCTCGGGGAGGTAGCCAGGATGTGGGGCATTGTTTGTTGGCTATGCCAACGCACCAATGCAAATATGTGCTTGACAGCACCTCAAACTGCAAATTTTACACTTCTCTGTGTTCACAGTCCGAGCTGAAGATGCAGAGCCTTGAGGGTCAACATCTGCCTCTTGCTTGTGCCCAAACACAACAGCCTTCCCATTCTTGCTGCCAAACACACATATCTGGGGAACGCCAGTCTGTGAGCATTCGATGGGCATTGGCTGCCATGTCTTGAGCGATCTCGATATCAACCAAAATTGCTGAGACTGCTTCTTCGCAGAGTGGATCAGCTGGCTTTGCCAACCGCAGCTTCAACCTCCTTGTCATTGCACTTCAAGCCCATCAGGCGCCCTGGAGCGGAACAGACAGCGGGTTAGAGGTGTGGTCGCACTATCGGGCAAAGCCAGATTGCTTGACAAGCCTGAATGACCGAAAGGCGGCATTCCGCCCTGAAAATGCAAAAACCAACAAATCGGATTCCGTAACACAGATTTCTCTGAGATCTCCTGGACGGTCTCCTGGCCAGTGCTTGGCAAGAGAGTACGTGCACGAGCACTGAGTAAGAGTAATGTGTACACAAAGAATACTCCCCTAACAAAAACTTTGGAGACTTCAAGCAACGAAGAAATTCAGAAGCCCCCAAATCATGTGCAGCCAATTCTCGAAATCTTCCAGGGCCCTCATTGTGGGCAAAGCAGACTACTCGTGGCAGGGTCGTTAGGGCAAGATTGGCAATGCCTGCTGTATATCAGTAACCTGCAGTGATTGTCGTTGTGACTTCCGTCGTGTTTGCAAAATGGAGAACCGCAATCAAAAGTTGTTTCAACATAAAGGCATCCCAGTGGGATTCCTTGATGCGTATGTTGGGCACACACGTATGCAACATACCACAAGATACCAAGCGTCAGATGCAGCTGGTTTCCCTCTTCACCATCTCCTTTTCAGCCAATGAGCTGTTACCAATCTTGAACAAACTGTCCGATGAATACAGGTTTTCGGATCCTGGTGCTTGCAGCCCCTCTCTGGTCAGCCACAGTCCGATCTTTGCATATTCACTTGTTTCAATTCCCAGCCCGCTATCTCCAAGTACATTGGCTTCAAAACAAAACCAAATCCTAAAACCTGAAACTGAAACTGAAACTACAAAACGGGTTGCAACCACCCAAAACAAGCTGTAAGCACAACGAAGGGGACTGATTGCGAATTGCTCTGCGAATGCCCAGCAGGTTGTTGATGCGGACACAGCAAACGAGCAGCAAATACACAGAAAATAGTCTGCAAAAACGTTGAAAGCATGATGGCACAGAAAAGTAGGGATCAAAGGCCTCAGCCAGGGCACGCCATTGCTGAAATAACATTGAAAGTTACAAGATGTCATCGTTTCCCAGAGTTCAGTATGTTGGCAAGCATGCACCCATAGGCTCTGGTGGACACAATGCCATTCTGGACAAGAAGCTTGGCAACACGATTGTCTGATTTCGATGGCGTTTACTCAGATGTGAGTTGTTGGCTGTCTATCAGAAATGAAGTACCTACAACTTGATAGAACAGAATCCTCCAAGCCAGAAAACATTGAGACAGGCCACATTCCAGAAAAACTGTCATCACTGCATAGCAGAAGTTAATTGATGGGCTCGGGACTGTATGACAAGGTAAAAAATTAGATCCAGCGGAGAAAACCGTGCATCACAGCAGCCCCTTGCGCGCCAGGAGGGACATGTCTCTTATGCAACTCCTCCGCTTGCAGCTGATGTGCCATTTGATTAGAATGGTAAATTTCGAAGTGGCAGCCACAAAAGCAAGTGGTGGTGGTGGTATATTGGTGGTGGGGAGGGGGGATCGTGGAGGCTGCATTGCACCAATGGGTACGTACCTGATGCATTTTGATATGCAAACATGAATCCAGCTGTTGCCCCCATTATGCCAGCACAGTATCTCGATTGCCGAGCCAGACCTACACTGATTCCTACACACAATAGATAAACACACAGTAGTCGAAAACAAAGGAAGGAGTCGCCCAATGTTCTAAATGAATGGAAAATTTGAGGCCAGAAAACCAGCAACTATGCAAAATGGCACATCGACTTCATGTCCTGGTCCTGGTCCAGCATTGTCCAGTGTTGGCAGCAGCAGCAGCAATCCTGAGCCATGGCCTTGTGATTAACACTTTGCAAATACTCTCACGGGACAAGGCACTACCACGTCCGCCACAGACACCAACGGCATCTCTTACAACCACCAAAACCCACAACAAGTCAAGGACCCATGTTCCCAGAATAGAAACCCAGCCCCCACAATTGCCTTCTAGTGCCACGCTTTCAACATCTATTCCATGAGATCTTCTTCAGAGATGTTTATTGTTGCGAGTATTCTCTGGTGTCTGTGCAGACAACGATCTGGGCTATAGAATGTTTGGAGACATGCCACATACAGAACTGATACACCATGTTGTCTGAAAGCCAACAATGGCATCTTGTAGATTTCTGCATCATATCTTTCATGCTTTGCAAGAAAGATAATCATGCTGCAATCAATTGTCCCATCATTGCACATGTTGCTTGCTTTCTGCCCCATCTATTCTCAGACTGCGGTTTCTACTTGGCGCAGGTGAACGAATGAGAAACAAGGAAACGTTTCGCATGAACATATGCCCGTCATCGCCTTCCAGTTGCATTGATCCGTTTGTATCCAGCCAAGGGCAACTTCAAACAATCGAAATGCCTTCTTCTTTATAGACAATTCGAGACAGTAGGACACATCGCCCCCCCAAAATAACGACAAAGAGGAGTAGAAAGCAACCCCACACCAGCCGCGCGTTGGCAGCACCGTCGCTCACCCGCCATGTGCCCGAACGCCACGCTACCCGCTGTGAGACCCGCCCACCACGCATAGTCGGACAGCCTGAAGTACGAGACTGCGCACACACCATCCACAATGAAGCACCGCAAGCAATCCAAGAAGGCCAAGGTGGTTTCGTCGGAAAGGGGACGCCCCAATCCTTGACCGGTCTCCGATGGTTGGAAGGTCGCCCAACACACAACACTGCCACTCGCTCTCTGCATTTCGCCTGAACCCCCAGAACTCCGCATCATTTTTCAGTGCATGGAACAGAGGGCCCACAGGCACTTTCGCTCAGGAGGGTTTGTGCCCATCGCCTGAAGCGATATCCTTTCTGTAACGATCAGCCATTCGCAAAACGCCGCGGCGTGCGATCTGGGCGCCGGAGCGCCTTGCTCCTTGGTCCCGGTCGCGTCCGCGGCTCGCACCAGTCTTGCCCAGGCGAGGCGCCCTGTCGAGGACCGGGTACTGGGGCTCGTCCAGAATCATGCCTGCCACCCGGCCTGCGCCACAGCGTTGCGCCACACAGCGGGCCCCAGTCCAGCCCGCCAACCAAATTCGGTCCAGGGCGACAATTTATTGTCCCAATGACTCACCGAATGACATATTCGGATGGTGAACAGAAAAACGAAGGGCTAAGGGCGGTTGACAAAGTGTATGGGCGTTGTAGTTTGGTTTTCGGTTTTGGTTTTTGGTTTCGGTTTTGGTCGATGGTTCAGTGTGCTGGCACTCGCTGAAAAAAGAATTTTCTTGAATTGACGTTAAAAAAAAAAACAACTGCCAAAAAGCTCCCGATTTGGAGCAAGAGGTGGTTGGATGTCGCAGTGCGCGGCAGCTGGCACGGCGCCGCAACCTTCCAAGGGCTTCCGTGGCGACTCTTTTGGTCGGGGGCGGGGCCCGCCATGGCCGACGACTTTTACGTCCGGTACTACATCGGCCACAAGGGGAAGTTCGGGCACGAGTTCCTGGAGTTCGAGTTCCGACCCGATGGGAAGGTGAGGGTGACCTTGCGGGACCCCCTGGCGGCCGCCACGACCTGGCCTTGGACTTTGGCGTTTGTGGAGATCGCTTTCTGAATATTCTGTGCGGGTGACCGTGTGCCCGACGTGGCCTTTTGCCAGGCTCAAAGGCTGCATTTGGTCACCACGTGACAAAATGTCGTTGAAGGATTGACGCCATGTCCTGCGGGTCCTCGCGCCGCCTGGAGACGCCTGCGTGAGCATTCATGGTCCCGCGCTGACGCCTCGCTTGGTGGGATCGTGCGAACGTGGGGAACCGCGAAAGTGCAGCTAGCCTGTGGATGCGTCGTGGATGTCGGTTCCTGGGGTTTCAATTGCATCCACGCCATTCGATTTTTTCGTCTTTTATAGCAATTGCCGCCCTCGATATCGGCTGGAGGGAGAGGAAACGTGCCAGTAGACTCCTTCTGCTGTGCAGCTCGCGCCGAACCAGTGGCATGCGCCGCATGGGGGTGGGGTGGGGACTTTATGTGGGCCCTTTTGTTGCCTCTAGATGCTTCATCACAGTTAGGAGTCCAGATACCCCCTGGACAAACAGAAGAGCTGTGGGACATGTCCCACCTCACAAGAAACAGCAACGCGATTGAAACCCAGAAAAGTGATCGATTGAAATGAATTCACAGTCTCGTGAAAAGGTGAACGAATTAACTTTCTCAAAGAAGAGAAGCTCAGGACTCTTGGGGCCCGCTGCTTGTGTTGGACAGTTGCTTTTGTGCATGTTAAAAATGGATGGTGTCTTGTTCCATCTGCAGCTTCGATATGCGAACAACTCCCAATACAAGAACGATCGCATGATCAGGAAGGAGGCGTTTGTATCGCAGCTTGTGATTGATGAGCTCAGGAGAATGATCGAAAAATCGGAGGTGAGGCCCCTGGACCTAGCTGCACCTGTGTCATGCACCACGTTAGGCTGGGGGCGCTTTATGTCAAACTTTTATGGTGAACGACAATAGCTGCCTCGTGACGGACAGGCAGAGTACAGTGGTGTGTGTTGGAATTGGAAAGGATTGGTAAAAAAAAGGCGAAATCCTTGCAAATGATTGGTGAAAAAAGGAACTTCAAGAGTTGTTAAGTGGACAAAAGAGTGCAGAGGTGGCCCAGCACCTGTCAGGAAAGACTGCCAAGGCTAGTGTGGTCCACCTGTGGCAGCTCCCCAGGAGTAGTTGAACTTGCCCAAAGGAGAACATACAGCTGTCGACTTTGCGCCAATTGGCCACAGTTTGGGCGGAGTGCAGTGCGCCAACGATTTGGAAACGAACAGAGTGGAAGGGATGCGTACACACCCATTTGCTGCATAGGAAAGGCAACTGCAATCACTCGAATTGATTGCACTGGTTTCAACACATCTTCGTTTGCCTGCGGTGCAGATAATGAAGGAAGACGATACAAACTGGCCCCACCCTGATCGCGTTGGGCGCCAGGAGCTGGAGGTTGTGCTTGGGAAAGAGCACATATCGTTCTCAACAACCAAGCTTGGGACGGTCCTCCAAATTGCACAAAGCAAGGACCCAGAGGGGCTGAGGGTGTTTTACTATTTGGTGCAGGTGCGTTTCCTCCCATTGCAGGCAGCCAATCTCCTTTATTTTTTCAACGTGTTGCATCAGATTGAAGAGTCCGAGTGCTGGCCCTGAATGTGCATGAGATATATGGGCCCTGTACCACCTCACGAACAGGCACAATGCGATGCAAGGCTGCAGAGATTCAGCACATGCACCTGAATCACAACGTCAAGAATGGGAACTTTGGTGCTGGAAAGGGAAAGAACAAACCACAAATCATAGCAATTTGGTGTGGTGAGATTATTCCCACCTGCAGAATTGAGAGACAGCTGGTCTCTTGCAAGGTGCTATGCTCTGTAAGCTCCAGCAGGAACCATGTGCCCAGTACACAAATCGCAGCTACTATGTGTGTGTGTATGTGTGTGCATTCGTGTCAGGGTTTACATTCTCTGGCAATAAGCTCATGCGCAGTGCCGATTCATTCATCAAGACATTGGACTGGTGGCAAGCCACGTTACCTGAAACGAACGTCAGTGTGATGGTATCCCAGAGTGAAAATGCTCTCACAGCAGTACCTGTTTGCTGTGCACTGCTGCTGCTCCAGAAGCTAGATAAAGCGGGTGACGTGGAATGGCATCTTTGTTGCCCCAGATGACAATGACATGCTGTATTTCGTTGATCTAAATTAAACGTGCAGCATCTTGTTAGCACAAATATGCAAGACAATGGCTCCACATGAACACACCTGCCTAGTCATCACAGAAACACATGCTGAACATTGTTGGTATCGTGTTTTCAACATCCACCAGTGCACCCATGCCCCTGATAAAGAGGTAACGCAACCTGTTTTGTGTGGCAGGATTTGAAGTGCCTGGTCTTTTCACTGATGAACTCGCATTTCAGAATACAGCCGATTCAGAGATGACATTTTGCTACTATGGGGTTGATGGCAGATGTAGCACTTGCACCCTTCTGGCCAGGTCGAGAAGGTGGCAGCGTTCTTTTGGCGTTCATTAGGAACAGTCAAACGGCTGGTGGAGTCTTTATGGTGGTCTTGACGGCAAGATGGCCACCAAATGGTCGCTTGTGTGTTTGATCCAGCACATGAAACAGAAGAGTAGACAGCTTTGTTTGGTGGCATGGCCTGGATGTGCGGCACTGGTTTGGTGCAGGCAAAGGTGCGGGAACCCCTTGGACGGGCATTAGTTGTAGATGCTTGTAAACTGCCATATTCGGAGTACAAGATGCATGCATCCACAGTGAAATGGCGTCTCTGGTGCCCTTTCGCAGAAGTCTGGCAAGCCCCCTGTAATGCTTTCTTAAGCCTAGAATTTTGTTTTGAAACCATATTCTTCCACGACCCTTGAATCTGTCTCCAAACGGGGAAATAGCAGCCCTGCGCATTGCAGGAGACGACAAACATGGTTCCTCGCACAAACATGACTTTGGAAGGTGTTAGGCTGACCGAACTCACACAGTGTCGCTCCTCAGGCACGAAAAGCAAGGTCGCAACCAGATGTATTACAAGACAAGCACATCAACCAAATAGTGTTCGCAGGAAATGTCCCCACTTCGTAGTCACGGTTCCCATGTTGACCATGCTTTTGCCGCCGAGTTAACCACGTCTAATCACACCATATTTAGCACCATTCCCCTTATAGTCATCCGCCATATATTCCTCGCCCTCACAATAAGTAGGACCTGCACATGTGTGCCACACTGCGCCGAAGCAGGCGAAGATTTGAGAAAGAGTGACGCTCCCTTCCGCGCATTTGGACGAGCCAGAGCACCTCTTAATAATGAGGCCCATACTAACTAAGTCGATCACTTCGTACTTTGATCAATCTAGTCACAGTAAATTGCTTCATGCTGGCAGCTCCTAAATTAGCGCGAGGAGCTGCGGAAGAGTTTGTTCGAGGACAGCTCAAAGTCCTTGTCAGCCGCACAACCGCGAAGGGCATAGGCAGGGTCTTCGTATGCGCTGTTCAGTATCAAGAACGGCTTACATGCATCGGGCCTGGCGGTCCTGGGGGTGGGCGCTATTCAGGGGGCGCTACATACCATATCTACCCGGTGTTAGTATCCTCTCCTTATTAGTGTCCAACCCCTCTCTGGGGCTCGAAATCACGTTAGTATCCATGACCTGGCGTTAATATCCATCCCCAACCTCAATGTAAACAAGATCAGGGGGGCTCGTTGGATTCACATCAAGGAGAGGAAGCTAGTTTGCAGGTCCTTGCTTGCACAACACTCTTGTTGCATGCCTTCAACGTACAACAACTACCCCAAAATGCACGCCCTGTAATGCAAACGCGAAGCATGTGATGGCTGCACACCTCACAGCTTGCACGGCCAGTCTGACTGGTGGGAAAAAGGCTGTTGCTTGTCGAGCAACTGGAGGCCATGCACCCATGGCACAAAGACAAACCTAAAGTTGTCTATAGACATGCCTGCATTTTGCCAGTTCCCATCACAATCTTGCTGTGGCCACACCTCCGTGGCAGCCACACTGGCTCCTGCGGCACCCACCAGCGCAGCAGCAATTCCAACGCAGCACCCGTCACCGCAGCAGCAACTTCCACTGTGCGCAGCATGGCCTTTCAGCCACATGCATTTCTGTTTGCTGCGTTTTGCATTGTTTCAAGCCCATTTTGTGGCATTTCGCAGCCTGATTTTCAAATTTTCTTCGCTTATGTAAAGCAAGCACCGCTTGTGCTGGCCCCCGGGATCAGCGGCTCGCCAGCGGCTGGACTGGCGGGGTTGGGCCCCATCACGATGGTGCACCCTTACATGGAGCGATCGCCCTCATGGGGATGCGGGGGATGCCCTCATGGGGATGCGGGGGAAGGGGAGTGGGCCTTTGATTCGCAACGAGGGATGTTTCTTACACAGCAGCACCACATGTATACTCTATGACAGATTACTATTCCCGTTTGGTTTGACTCCAGCATGGTGCGTCCAATTCCCATAGCCCTCGCCATGAACTCCTTTCCCCGAAATCATCCCATCAAAGCGATGAGCAATGAGATGCTTCGCATCTCAACACCAACACTTGCACCTTGGATCAGGGGTCTACATCGCGTTAGCATCCATGATCCACTGTCAGTGTCCACCACCCACTCTGGAGGTCCATTGGGCGCACACCAACACAGCTGCGCCGACGGCTTCGCGGGGACCCCAAGGCCCGTGGCGCCCATCATCCACATCTGCATCAAGCCCACGACGCCGGGCCGCACCAGCACCCACCGCCTTTGCCTCTCACTCCTCCCGCGCCCCCGTCCCCGCCCCCCGGCCGGCCGCGTCCGCGCCTCGCCCCTCCCCGAGGCCCGCTCATCCGCCCCCCGCCTCCCCTTCTGCTCGTGCCGCCCCCCTCCCGTCCGCCCACGCGGGGCGGAGAGCCTCGAGCCGCGACGCCGCCGCCGTTCGCCCATTGACGGCCGCCGCGACGGGCGCTCCGATCCCCGTTCGCCGCTCGCGGCGCCCCCGGCAGGTGCGCGAAAAGATGCCGCCGGGAGTGGATGCCGGGCCTGATGTGAATCGCGCGGCTCTGTGCGGCGCTGATTGTCGCCGCGGTCTGTCACGGGGGCTGTTGGGTTGATGTTGGCGTGATGTGATGGGCGGGGGGCGGGAGGCTCCGCGCGTCTGCGAGTCAATTTTGCGTCTGGGGCCGCAGCGGGGAGTGGCCGCAAGAGAGAGTCGGGGTGGGGGTGATGGGTTGGGGTTTCGCCGCGGGTCGACTGGAAATTGGGGCCCGTCGGGGTGGGGGCGGCTGGTGGAGGGGCGCACTGCAATGGGATGCGTCCGTTGCGAGGAACGCGGGCAGCGGCGTTTGTGTAGGTTAGGTTCAAATGCTGCCGTTTCCTCAGAAGCGATGCGCTCCCACCTACACCACCACGCACAGCGTCCGCTAACGGGCCGGATTCTGATCCATCGCCCGGGTGGCGCCCTTCCCTGACGGGACTGGCCCAGCGAAGGGCCTGCCTTGGGACCCTGCTGAGCATCACCCCTGGCACGGGGCCAGGGACGTCTGGGCAACCCCAGGGGCATGCTCGCGCACCGCGGTGGCGGGGCGGCCCCCTTTTTGGGGAGGTGTCCGTGGATGGGATGGCGGCAGCTGCACGGGGAGGGGCATCCAAGTGACCCCACGCAAATCGGACTTGTTTCGCCCGTGCCACTTGCTGTGTCTGGGCCTCGTGCTGGCGCCCTGAGTCTTCTGGCACTGTTTGGCGCGCCCCTTCTCGTTGCGACCTGTTCCTGTTGCATGGATCGTTTAGTCTTGGTCCAAGGGACCGACGTGTCACACAATCGACACCACCCTCCCCAGCAACAATCTTGCAGAACTCCTTTCCGCACTTCCTGTTCCTCTGGTACTTCTGCGAGAGTCCCAAATTTGTCGCGTCTGTCCGCGCAGTTGCTCCTGCATTGCCGGACAAGTTTTGAACACAATAACTAACTGGTCAAGAACACGGTGAACAGTGGCAAGACTCTGTCCTGTATTCTGACACAGAATATTCAGGCACACTGTGCCGTGCAAGGTACTTTGGGATTCAAGTGGAATCGGGCCTGCAGTGTTGCACCAGCTTTGTCCCACAATTTGTTTTGTGTGAGAATTGAGGGAACAGGGGAAAAAGACTCACAGAGAATACAAGCAGACTGCAGATGGACTAGGAGTAGGTAAAAAGCACATAACCAGTCCCAGAAACTTGGAGGTGGGCGGTTGGTGCTGGTGGGTATTCATGGTTGGATAATGGAAGTTGATTTTTGTATTGGGCATGTCGATGCACTGAGCCATGATGCTCTGCCTGTTGCAGCTGCATACCTGAGTTGGCAGACTTTAGCACCATGCGCCAGCATGCTGTGGACATGAACGGTTGCCCTGGCGTGGCTGGAGCCCATCGGATGGCAACACCCATCGGCCTACCCATGCTGCTGTGCCCCACGCGCAGCTCAAGGAGTGCCTTCCTGAAGAATGCACGTGCCCTTGACTGCAGGCCTTCGCCCCACACAGCTCCCCGCAGTCAGAGTCGCACAGTGCCAATGGCTGTTGCGGCAACAGAAAGGGCAGTTGAACCTGACAAGAGACATTACCAGTCAAGTGGGGAGGTGTCAGTGGGCAACGGCAGCACACCCCCTGTTCATGTGGAATGGTACAACAAGAACAAGGAGCTGTGGTGCGAAGCACGATCCAGTGAGGAGCTGCAAGCGATCATAACGGAGGAGGAGGAGAAGTTCATCTTGGCAGATTTTTATGCAGGCTGGTGCAGTTCCTGCAAGGCCGCCTACCCAGCCCTGTGCAAGGTGTGCAGAGGGTTTGTTGTCACAAGGAAAGATTCTGATTGAGTCATGGGCTGTTCAACCTCCTGGAAAAGGAGATGTCAGGGCTTTGTTCCATTTTGTGATTTGGAGGCCGCATGGAAGAAAGAACGACGACAGAAACATCAACTCAAAAAAGCAGAAAGTCGATCTGCATGCATACCAAGACTAGAAAATGAAAGAACAATGCCTGGTTTTTGCATCTTTTGATTTGTCTAGAGCAGCGAATCGTCGGTTTCGTACCTTTCATGCCATGATGCAAGCAAATTGATACAGAGATTCTGTCCAGTGCAGAGTTGGCGATGTCCATCCCGAGTGCAAATTCGGCATTTAGTGTATTACACAGGGTCCCACGTGTTGCCCGTTTTGTGGGGCATTGTGGTTTATGGCACTTTCAGTCCATGCGTATCCACAACCATATCTTGTGCATTTTAAGCCGGTTTGTCTCCAAGTTGTCTGTGCAGCCTTTTTTTTGAGCGTTTGCAACCGTTCTGTTGAGAGAATCCGTCCTTGTGCTTTTACAGCCTGTTCCCCATGCGTGTTGACCCTAAAACCCTGGAACTTGGAGGACCGTCAAAACTACAAAACGGACCTGAAACGGGCTTTTGGAATTAAAGAAGCTAAAACGGGCTGGAAAAACAAGAAATCAAGCTGCCAATAAACCCAAACCCGGTATTCTTCGGGAAACGGGCTTCGATTGAACAGAAAACGTGTTGAAAAAATACACAAAAGGAGCTGTCATGCCGTCTGTACATTTCACATCTTGTTTGCCTACAGTTTGGACGCTTGTTGAATATGGACGTTGCTCATGTGGGTTACCAAAGAAAGCTGATCTGCAGTGATTGTCCTTTTGCAAAGGTGGCTGCCAACCCGGACTTCACTAAGAACTTCAAGTTCGTGAAGGCCGACGTGCAGACCAGGGACATAGCACAGTACATTCGAACCCAGGGTGTGCGCGGCATCCCCACGATCATCGTCTTTGCGCCCGGCGGCGCCAAGGTGGCGCACTTCGGGGCGTCCTTCAGGAAGATGAACATGGTGAAGGCAAATCTGATCGTCATCGCATCCAACAAGGGCGCCGAGTTCGTGACAGACCCGGACGGATATGTACTTCCCAGGCCAGGATCAAATTGAGGGGCGGGGGCGCTGGCTGTTCCCTGCACGCTCCGGCGCCGGACGTGCTGAATTTGCCGGGACCCCTGGTCCAGGTTGGCTTCCACAAGATAGAGCAGGTTTTGTGCCGCCTTGGGCCTGCTGTGGAGCACCTGGGTTCGCGTTTGCGTGTCCGGCCTGAGGATTTGGAATGGCTGGACCCGAGTGGTGCCTTTTGTGAGCGGACGAAGAATAGATATTGTTTGAGTGGGGCGTGTGTTGGCGTGCGTAGCGGAAACGGAGAGGAGCTGCTGGATTGAGGGCGGCGGGGCGTCAGCGTTTGGGTACTTTTCAAAGCGATCCAATTCTCTCCTGGGGGACGCCTTCCACCCCGAGCGGAGTGGGGCTATGTAGAGCAGAGACGAAAATATTGCTTCCTGCATTGCGATCGGGTCATGAAGATGTGTGCATGGGCTGGACATGCTGCACAATGTAAAGTCGACCCCGCCAGGAGTGCGCACTTTGTTCTTCAGATCACATTCATGCTCCTCGCCGAATAGCGTTCAGACCCCGGCCACTGATGCAGACATTTTTGGAGTATGTGTCTGTCGCTTTTGTGCACGGTCGTTGCTTCGGGTCACTCTTGCTGTCAGTGGCTCAAATAGCGCTGGACAGGAAGAAAGGGCAGAAACCAGTGCTGCTATGGAGGGATGCTTCACTGCGTAGCGCGCGCTCTGGATTCAGAACCACATCTCAACACACGCAACCCAGAAAGAAGAGGAAGAGATGAAAATGGTGTAAGCACAGACCAGGGGTCCATAGGGGCAGCCGACGCACCTGCAACGCGCAAAGGTTGGCAACAAAGTATTCCGCCCACTGATCAATTGGTAAATATTGCATGCAACCCGGTACGAAGTCGGTTGCAAACCCAGTTGCCCCCTCATACCCGACCAAACAGCTGACATAATTACACCCGCTGGCTACTGCGCGGCTATCATACTCCCTGTCCGCAGGCCACCACAAGAGCTTGACGTTGGTGTCAACGCCTGCGGGAATGTCCAGTTCCATGAGCCGATCGCGAGTCTGAGCCGACAGATCCTTGATGTCGACTAGGCGCCGGTGGATCGTCACCTCGAAGTGTTCGCGCGAGTCCTGGTGGCCAGCACAAGTCGCTGTCGTCAGTTTATCTGGAATATCGGAACAAGAACATGTTAAAAGCCAGTGGACCTCCAAACAGATCCACAACTTCGAAACACAACGACTTTAAAGCGGCCCAGCACTGTCCACCACCCCCATTGGAGAACAATTCCCCCATTCGCAGTGGCTGAAATCATCCTATTGGTGCAGGTGCAGACCCTGCTACAAATTGTTGTGCCATCCATTTTAAGGCGATATGGAGGTAAATGAAGGAAGTGTCGTTGCCGTTTGTACCAAACCCGCCCTTCACCACCCCCACCCCACCCCTTGTGTGCTCATCTTTGCTTCGGAGGCTCTATATCATCTTTCCATAGCACGGAAAAGAGCCTCACATACACTTGCCTAGGCGAGGGTGCCCTTTGTATGAACTGTTTCCCTTTCTCTTTTGTAACAAATCTTAACCCCCACCCCCAACCCCCAACCCCCATCCCCCTGAGGCGAAGCAGGAGTATGAGCAAGCATAGCTGAATGGCCTGAATGCCACAACTGACAATCCTTGAAAGTGCACCTGCAATGTGCATCGCCTTGGAGGCACATGGAAGCGATTCATCACTTCACAAATGGTAACGGATCAAGGTTTCCACAGCCAGTGACAAAATTGACCAATATATTGGCTGGATCTTTTTACCTCCATCTTTGCTAACCCAGTGAAAGGGTTCTGTTCTACATAACTATACTGACAGCAGCAATCCATGGAATTCAGCGACATAGCGACGGGGCTGCATCGCACTGCACCTTGTTCACATGCGGCGACCTGAGCATGCAGTAAAGTTTCCGACGAGTAGGCAGTGGCACAGGGCCAGAGACATTGGCCCCAGTTGCTGATGCGATGTCCAATATCATTTGTATGGCATCTCGCAACAAGTCCATTTGATAAGCCTTCAATTTGATGCGCAGCTTCTGGGCCAGTGCATCAGCCTTGCCAGCTGCTTCCTCCACGACCACAGGCTCCACCCTCCGACTTCACCACGTCTACTTCGTACACTGCAGATGCCGCGTGGCATACCTGCAACGACCATTTGAAACAGATCCCGCAAGTGAACTCTGCACTGTGGAAACGGAAATGTCCACCAACAGCTTCTTTCTCCTTGCACTGCCGAATGGCAAGTCTTTCATAGATCTTACAGGGCATGAGTTCAAGAAATTTCTTTGATTCCGTTTCCTAACAGCAACAGTCGCGCCGATGCACCTTTGGGGAGGATGAATGGCAGTGCTTGCTCATTTGTCACAGCAATAACCAAGCAAAATATCTTATCAGTCATGGCAAACATGCAACTGGCAGAGGGCGCACTGAGAACTGGCTTGCTTTGGGCATCTTTTGAACAGTCCGACCTCCCCCTGGCATTGTCATCGCATCCGTGCTTCACCACGGTGTGCTTGCAACATGTTAAAAGCTGGACACATTCTGGTGAGGCAGATCTTCTGGCAGGATATGCGATCTCAACTGGCTCATCTGTCCTATTCATTCTATCAATTGTGTCAGGCCAGCCTAAACCCAACAAACATGGTGCAAACAGGTCCATTCCCTGTGCTAGACCGTTGGTCGATACCTTCAATGGCAAACAGGACGTGAAAGAATGCGTGCACTAAATACCATGAGGTACCCTTGCGATTGCTTGCTATACCAACCGCTCTTATGCCAAATACCATTACTACTGGAATCGAGATGTGTAAATCAAGTAACAAGAGAGCAACTGCACCTATTTTCACTCACCGAGTCATGTGATCTAAACAACGCGCCCACACCCCTCTACACCCACCAATCTAGATGCCCTCCTGGGCACTGCAAAGACGCACAAAGAATTGCAGGAATGAGCAAGCCTGTCAGTGATGCCCTCAATGTTTGCTCATGTGGCTGGGGTATGTTGTCGTCCACATTCGTTGCTACAACGAACGCTGCTTGGTGCACAACTCAACTTCTGTTTTCAATCCAGTTGGTGTCCCCAAAGTTCTGTGCAAACCTGAACTGAGCCGATGGGCGGCGCCAAAGAAAAAATCGCGTTGGCAAGCAAAATGCCCAACTCTTGGCAACCAACGCAGATGTCCAGACCGACCAGCAAACACAAGGCGGCTGCCTCAGCTTTAGCCATCAACTACAGTACAGTGGCCACAGACTCACACCTTGGCATGGCGGAACATCGATCCCCAATGAAAAGGCAAGCCACCGATTCAAGCCCAAACGCAAACAACCACACTCGAGATGCAAAGCATTCATCCAGTGTGGCCCACATCTGCGAGCGGCCACCCAGTCCATCACGCCACGCAATCCGACGCGATGAACGATGCGCACTGAAACCGACGCTCACGGTCAATCCATCAGCGGCAGCGTCGCCGCACCGGGGCGGCCGCGCAGCCGCCGCATAAGCGCCACGCGCCGCACTCTGCGTCGCGCACCGTGCTTCCATTTTTGCGGCGGCATCGGCGCCCAGCGACACGCAGGCGCCCCGCTCAGGCAGGCCCGCTCCTGCAGGCCCGGGGCTGCCATGCCACAGTCTCCCTGGCTGGTCCCGGCCTGGTCGTCGCAGCCCGAGAACGGTCAGCCGCTGGCTGTTGTTACCGCCACAGGTGCACCAGGACGGAAAAGCGACATATTTCGCTGGCGTCACTCATGACGTCAGACATTTTCTTTACCGTCTTAATGCCGTCATCAATGCCTTCATTCCTGTGTCATTCCTGCGTCATTCCGGCAGTCGTTAACGTCATTAATGATGTGGAGCGAAGGGCACAAGCTCTCGTTTGCCACAGTGGACAATACTTTCATGCGACAGCGCCAAGCAAGTCGGTTTCGCGACGCTGCGGGTTCTTTGCGGAAATAGCGATACGAGGGCTGTAATGGACACTATCATCATAACAGCAATGGAACCAAAAGGTGATGGGCTACACTTCTCCGACGTTGCTGAGGCGTGTGTAACACATTCTCTGTCCCCTTTTGTTGGTGCACAAATCGAGTCGCCAATGCTGCAAGCCTTCAGACCAAGAATTAAACCAATTGCTGTTAAATACTCGCCCCATTCTTCGCTGGCATCCACACCACCCAGGGTCAGAGAAATCCCCAGCAGTGCAAACAGTGTGGTTGCCTCTGGCAAGCCTCAACGCGCCAGCGTTGTCGAATGCAATGTGATAGGACTGCCATCAACCTCTGGCTGCCTTTACCCCAACAGAGTGCCAAAACTCTCCTGGGACAATCCATGCAAGGCGAAACCTACAGTCGTACAAAACAGCTACGACACAGTCCATTCCCGTCCTGCAGAACAACAATCTGAGAATCCCACCGTAATAAAAGCAAGCGAAACTATCTCCAGAGAAAACAGCCAATCCATTACTGGCCCCCGATCAGGCAGATGTCCCTTCCAAGGAGGCATCTGAGTTTGTGCCTTCAGAATTGAACGGACGATGCCCATTCTCAGATTGTTGCATGGGAACCTCTGATTCCCTGTCTGTTGGTAGCGCATCTGGTCCCGATTCAACTGCACCCTGTGCAGCATCTTTCTTCATGTGGAACAGCTGCTCGCGAAGCACACCATGCAGCTGGTCGAACAGCTGGCTCTTCACGTCCTGAAAAGCTCGTTCCAGTCTGTCTAGCTCCTCCGTTGCATTCTGAATGACAACACCAACATCAGCAGCTTGGATGCAACAAAGCCTACATTTGGCAGGGCCACATACTGCGCAGATACACACACAGTTGCATACATTCTGTTCGCAGAGCAGAAATGCTGAGAATCGTGCGCAGCATCCCGTGCTGAACAAGGGCAAACAGCAGCATTGAAGTTGCACAGTGGACTGGGTCGCATCGCACTTACACGGTCGTGGAATGACCATGTAAGTCAGAAGTTGTGAGCAATGTAGTGCAGCCTGCCACCTGTATTTCGTTCACATATTGGAAGAGAATGAACCTGAGAATGGGCCTTCACCTGCAAGAAGCAGGCAGCAGAATTTTCATGTGCAAGCTCTACCCACCTGATTGTACATGAACAACCCATAGTACAGGTCAAACGAGTCATGGGTGGTGTTGCTAACAAGGTTGACCAGGGACTGGTAACCCTTTGTGTCTAAATTCGTCGACTCCAGGTCCATTGCTCCAAGCACGCGGCCAACTGTGTGCGTTATGAACTGTGTGCTGGCTGCCTTCTTGTCATGCTCCTCGCATGTCATTTCTATCATATTGCACCCCTCCAACTTGAAAAACTGCATCAGCAGGTCACACAGTGGCACGTTGCATGGCATGAGTCAAGAAACAACATGAAACCATCAGCCAGACGCTGTGACAATGGGGTCACAAATTTCTGTATGAAGGTGCAGCAGTTTCACACAGAAAGGACAACAAAGTACGGATGAATAGCAGTAAAATAGGACAGCCGCAGGCCCATTCCGCAGCTCCCTTGAAGTAACACATATGAAGGCAGCAGCACGCTGTGTACCAATCCCAGAAGCAGACAAGCAACTCCAAGATGAATTTAACTGTAAGATTTGTTTCGATTGGCCTGTCTTCGCATATTACCAGCACCAGCAAGTCCACAATTCTATACCATCGCCAGCAATTATCATTTCATATCACAACACACCCTGTCCCTGTTGATACTATTGTGCGTTGACCAGCCACAATGGCCAACACCTGCATTATCTTTGTAGCACAAAAACTCTGTTTCAATAATCTTTCGTTCGCAGGTGGGGCCTGCCCAGTGTTTCCCTTGAATGAGCAAGCAACCTTTGACATTTCGAAAAATCCAGGCATTGCCAAGCAGCACACCTGCAGAAATCTCTGCACTCTATGCTGCCTCTCAGGGCTGTCCCCAACACGCACACATTCGTACATGAAATTCAAACCCTTCCAGGAGCCCTGACCACTGTCAGGGCCAAACATGGGATGTGTGCACAGAAGGTCCAGCTCTGGAGGCAGGGTCCGCATGAACAACTGTTTCGGAAACACCTGGAGCAACAAGCAAGCTGGTTGACTGCAGCATCACATTGCCAAATATCACAGCAATTTAACAAGAAACAAACATCCTTGAAAAGCATCAACAAAGCGACCAAGAATCCCTGAATAACATCCCTGACAATTCCTATCAAACACCCCCGAATTCCCTGTCATTTGTAATGTTTGCTTGGTACATAGTGGCAGGCTGCCAAGCCGGAAGGGATCCACCACAGGACAATAATTACCCGACACATTTAGGGGACATCAGAAGGAGGGGCTGCAGCCATCAAAAGAGCAAGGTAAAGTAAAGCACAGTGGCCATCACAAACCACACCTTAACTGATAAGACGTCCACAATCAATGTGCTCCTTTTTAATCTCTGAAAGGGCAGGGAGAAGAGCACGGACTCGAGTGATATGATGGACGTGGCCAGAATGACAACATCAGGATGGGATTCACAAAAGTCGTGTGCATCTGTGAAGAATTCAACTCCAAGCTCTGTTGCCTCATCAACGTACGGAGTTCGCGATGTTGCTAGAACCTGAGCTGGCAGCAAGGGCACAGCAGGCAGTTGGCATGAGGCCAGGCTCTGACCGCTACTTGGACTGCTTGATAGCAAGTCAGACAGTCACTTGCGCCATGCTGCTCATATTGTTGACCAAAATGCTTGACATCGAAGGGATGTGTGAGACAATTGTCTGCCCTGACTAAATTTGCACTGAAACCATTGTGCGCTGCCAGTTCTGACACTCAGGAGCATATCAACAATAGCAACAGAAGCATGCTTCAATGACATGTCTTTGAATCAACAGTGATCACGTGGTGCCCGATGTGATTGAACGTGACATAGAATCCAACGTGTGCAATTCAGCAATTGTTCATGTACCCAAAATGCCTCATTTTTACACCTTGGAAAGAGTGTCAAGACTTCTGCTCGGGTGAGAGGCCTATTGCATGTCATATTGCCCTACATTTTCAAGCGAACACATCGCAAAGGAATTCCCAAGGGGATTCACTTCACCAACAAGGCACGAGCACGATGTTGACATTTTCATTGCAATCCAGGCTCTGATAATAATAACAAATCATCATCTCCCACACTCACGAGATTACACATGTTGATCCCCTGTCCTGTCTTGCATTGCAGTGCCCCCCACCTGGTGCCCATGCTCCACCAGCCTCTTTGCCAAGAATTGACCAAATTTCCCAAACCCAACAATTCCTATCTTCAACTGCCTTTCACGAGAGAGCTGCTTCTGCATCTTGCCCTCATAGTCAAATGGCAGCGCAGCATCCAGTGCCAATACCTCAATGCCTGGCTGAACAGCAGGCATCAGTGAATCAGACGTCAAAACCAAGTGCTTCACTCAGCACGTCAAGTACTGTACTGGTTTCTATTTCAGTGGGTGGCTGCAGAGCATGTGGCAAACGTCCAGGAACTCATTCATATCTGCCCCTGAGCTTGTATGAGGCACATTCCACCTGTTGTGTTGTGTCATGGAAGGGGTCAGGGTAGGTGACGGTTGGGCTTCTGCCCTGGTAGTTTCTGCCATCCTCTCTATCGTTCACTATCTCTGCAGGGAAGAGCTTTAGTTGCCTGATATCGCAAAGAGTTCTGCCTAGAGTCTGGACCCTGGCAACAGGTCCTGTGCATCCAGGCGAGCTTCCCAATTGCTGCTCAGATACAATCGCACCAAGACGCAGCTTGGACCACACACAATGCATAAGGTGCCAGCCTTCTGGCCCCAAACGGACATACAGACGTGGCTTCTCAGATTCCTATGCTACAGAACAATGTCGAGACTAGCTTTGCTCCAAACTGTGCCGAGCTGGAGAATGTCTGGATGTAGACAGCAAATCTGAAGCAGCACAGTGGCTTGCTATCTGCTCCCCAGCCGATATTAGTCGCCTCGTTGCTTCTTGTGCGTTGTGCAACGAAACCGTTAACACAAAGATAACAAGGTCGGTACGCATGCACTCGAAGGTGCCGATCAAGGGCACAACACAAAACACGAAAACACCATGAGTACCAACCAGCACAGTGAACACGTCCAAGGGCTAACCTAAAACCAGCTCAGTTCGGGCTGCGCTCTAGAGCCGATCGGCTCCAGCCAATTCTCCGCTCACGGCGCAGCGCAGAAGCAACGTTCGAAGTCATGCGCCGAGCACGCCTGTCAACGGGCGTGCAAGGAAATGCACCTCGCCGAAACGCAAATGCCGCAATCGACGTCCCTTCGCCAGCGCCCCTTCCCCCACGGGACCGCCATACCACGGCGTCGCCACGCGGCAGCACCCTTGCTCTCATTTCCTCCCGCTTTTGCTTTTGGTAGTGTGCCCCGCTTCTTGCACTGGATACCGCTTAATCATCTTTCCGCAGGTTGGTAAAGATCCTCACGCACACTTGCCAAGAGGGGCCGCGCTCTTTTGTACGACCTGTTTCTCTCTTCTCTTTTCTCAACTGTAACAGATCTCCCCCCGCCCTGCCCCCAGCCCATTGCCGCTCCACAGCACCGCAAGGGCGCTCCGCATCCCCCTGAAACATCATTACCCCCTCCACTGCCGCCCGCCGCTGCCTCACCCACCAGGTCGCCCGGTCCTCCTGGCCGCCGTCCGGCCCCTCTGGGGCCTGCCCGCCTCCAGCGGCCCGCGCGCGCCGCGGCACGGGCACAGCTGCAGCATCGGGCACGGCACCGGGCCCGCTTCTAGGGACCGCATGCTGCCACCCTCGCCCGGGGCCCGCGCGCCCGATAGGCCGAGGGGGGGCGGCGCTCCGGCGGCCGGCTCGCTGTGGGCGGACGCGCGTGTGTGGGGCGCCCGCCCGGTACAAGCTGGCTGCCTTTTGATGAGATGCGCCCAGTTGCCACTCTTTTCGCGGAATTGACGGAATGAAATGGAGTGAATATGTTTAAATCGGGATTAGGGCCGTTGGGAGGGAACTTTGGTCGGCCAACGGGAGTTCCGTTGTGGACACACTTGGATTCGGTGTGATTGGCGCTGCCTCTACGCAAACCGACTTTGACTGGCTCAGTGAGAAAGTGTTTGGCGCAACTCTTAAAGTTGTGGCTAGCTTATGGGCAGCGACCCTTGTCGCAGGGCGCGGTTGGTGATAAAGTCCAGGAAACCGAACTGAGCACGGTTTGCACGGCTGGGAACGCTGTTTCAACTCGATCCGTGCAAACGGGGAACTTGGGACTAAAGGTTGGCGAAACGAGTGTGTGGCTATCTCGTTTTTCGCTTCGCACTCACGCGTCAAGCGCTCTCCTCCGAGCTCTCTGCTCGGTTTCCTAGCTAAGGAAAGCCATCGATCACGATCTGAAGTCGTGATAGCAATCCAGACCCCGCTGGTCTGTGGTGCGCCCCCTTGATGGGCGATCCTGCTGCTCGTTTGGCCCAACTCGAAGCCGAACTTCAAGCTCTCCGAGCTGAACGGGCCCCTCCCCAACCCCCGGCCGATCCCGCAGCCCTTGCTACCGCCGCGGAGGAGGAGCGCCTCCGCCAGGCCCAGCTTGACGATGCTGCCTTGCTGACTACGCTGCGGGATCTGTGCGTTCGTTATACCGGCGATCGGGCGGAGGTCGTCGCCGCCCACGCCATTCGATCCAAGGAGGAGCTCTCCCATTTCGCGGGGAACCCTGTCCCCCGCCCCGCTTCCGCCAACAAGGCTGGATCTGCCTTTCCAATCGCCTCTACTGCGTGGGGCCAGGAGTTGGCTACCGCACTGGGTGCTGGTAGCAGCTTCTTTCAAGAGCTTTGCGCTTGGGCCCCGGTGACTTCGTACCTCTTTGACATCGTCGCCACCCTCCTCCAGATCACTTCGGCCGACGATTTCTCCATCGATTCCCGGCGCCAGCTCCGCGGCATCGTCGACTCCCTTCACGCGGTAGTCCAAGGGGCGCTGTGCAACATTCACGTGCATCGCTTGAGGGCCAAGCACGGTGGCGACATCGCCAACGCCTTCTCGACCCAGCTCCGTCTTTTAGGGGAGCATTACGCCGCCGTCCCGGAGGAAATCATCGAGTTCGATCGGCGGATCGCCGACAAGGTCGTCGCTGCGGTCCAGAAACAAGCCGCTGCACGTGCCGCCTCTGCCCAAGCCGGGCGTCCCCGCGGCAATCAGCGGGACGCGGCCGCCGCGGCAACCGTGGTGCTGCACATCGCGGTCGCGGACGTGGATTTGGTGGAGGTGCTCCCGGCGCCTCCTCTTGATGCCCCCCCGTTACACGGTCCGTCGCCGTGCGACGGCTGTGGTGTGCGCGGCCCGCCCTGCAACGCTTCAGTACCCAAGTCCTACGGGTCCCAGCTCCTCTTCAGCCGTGCAGTCGCTGGTCCCTGGGTCGGTGCCACCTACTGTTGTTGCTGACGTGGCACCTCCGGAGGACCTGGTCCTGCCCGACGCACCCTCCCTGCCTCCAGAGGACCCCAGCTTGCAGCCTCTCCCCGGCCCGATCGGCCCCTCTGCCTCTCTTCCGGAGATTGTGGCCCAGCCCGCTACGGCCTTAGCTTCCAGCCATGCCACGCTTCCAGGGCACGAGCCCAGCCCTTGCAGCCAAGCGGTTTCGAGCTCTCCGGCGGAAGTTTCAGATCGACCCGCGGACTTTTCCCTACATGCGCGTGAGGTACGCCATAGCAGCTTGGCGATGGATCGGTGCCAACCTGACGATCTTGTCTTGGCTCAACGAGGGGTACCGTTTGCCCTTCCTCCGCTCACCGCCTCCTTTCGATATGGGTAATTCAGTTTTTCAAGGCGACGATTTACCAATTTGGGAGCAGACGTTGGCCAAATACTTACGGCTTGGAGCCTTGCGGCCTGCTTCCTACTCTTCACACGTCAGTCGGGCTTTTCTTGTGCCGAAGCCAGATGGCTCCAAGCGCCTCATTGTCGATCTGCGCCCGCTCAATTCTTTCATCAAGGATCGACGCCTCAGAATGGCGTCCTTACGCGATCTGGAGTACGCCTTGCATCCGGGCGACTCTATGATCGCGTGGGATATTGCGAACGCTTATTTTCATGTGGCCTTGTTTCCTGCCCATGTCCGCTACTGTACGATATGGGTCAACGGTGCATTGTGGGAGATTCCGGTCCTCCCTTTCGGATTAAAGTCATTGGCTTACGTGTTTTCCAAAGTCATCGCTGTGGTGGTCCGCTTTCTTCGGGCCCCTCGATTGGCAGTGCCCCGGCAGCCCCGTCAGTGGTGGCCTGGCCTTGCGGCCATCTGGCTGGCCAATCTGGCACCATTTCTGCTCCCTTACCTGGACGACTTCCTCGCTGTCCATCCGTCCAACCGCGATCTGCGCCGATTTGCCATCAATTTAGGCAAGGCACTGCGTGGTCTGGGCCTCCAGCTAAAGGTCTCCAAGTCTACCTTGGTGCCTACCCAGGAATTGTCCCACCTCGGCTTTGTGGTCAATTCCAGGTCTGCCACGTTTGCGGTGCCTCCCAAGAAGGTCGATCAGATCAAGGTCCAAGCCTCGACCGTGCTGAGCATTGCCTTACGTCAGGCCAGATTTCTCAGGGCCAAGCTCTTGGCCCGCTTCTTAGGCCAAGTTCAGTTTTTGGCATTGGCAGTGAGGCCCGCACGTTTCTTCCAGCGGAACCTACACCTTGCCTTGGCCACCAAGACTTCGTGGCGCAGCATGATCAAGCTTCCCCGGGCAGCCCTACGCGAGATGCGCTTTTGGCAACGGCTCCCAGCACGCTTTCAATCGGCCCCCTTCCTCAGGATGCCCCACCAAGTTGTTCTAGCAACGGATGCATCGCTGATCGGCTGGGGTGCCGAATTGACAGAGCCTGTTCCCCAGCCGCACGCACCCCCCCCTCCAGCCTTGGCCCGGGGCTTTTGGTCCCACTCCGAGAGGCTCCTTCATATCAACGTTCTCGAGCTGGAGGCCGTGCTACGAGCGGTGCGGACCTTTTTGGGGCGGCTGCACGGGAGGCATGTTTTGTTGATGACCGACTCACAAGTTGTCTACCATCTGCTGCGATCTTTCAAGTCGAGCGTCGATCCACTATACAAGCGATTACAGCATCTGTTCTATATCCTGGATTCAGCCAGAATCGTCTTTCAACCGCGGTGGATCCCCACATCCGACAACGTGCTGCCCGACACGTTGTCCAGGCTACGCGATGCCGAAGACTGGCAGCTCAACCCTACCTTCTTCCGTCTTCTCGACTCCCTCTTCGGACCCCACCACGTGGATCGCTTCGCGTCGGCCCTCAACCGCCAGTGTCTTCGTTACAACTCCAGGTGGGCCGACGTCGGGTCCGAAGGGGACACTTTCGCAGTGCCCGATTGGGCGTCTGCGAACAACTGGGTGAATCCTCCCTGGACACTGCTTCCCAGGGTGGTCGCCCTGCTCTCCAGCCTCCCCTCGGTGCACGCCACTATTCTGGTGCCCGAGTGGGTGGGCCGACCTTGGTTCCGCCAGCTCCACAGCCTCTCCTGGGCCCGCATTCCCATCCCCAGGAGCCCCTCGACTTTCCTTTCCGGACGCTCGGGACATCTTCCCCAAGGGCTCCCCCGGTGGCGCATCGTGGCGCTCCGACTGGATCGTCCTTCCCCTACACCCACAATGGTGAAGGCTTTGGAGTCTCGGCGCTGGCAGCGCCTCGCGCGCTCAGCCCAGCTCCAAATGCTCCAGTGAGCTGCCCCCCGACGCCCTCTCAGGAGCCGACTGCCTCCGGCGGTTCCCAGGACCTCTGCCCGCGAGTGGAGCCCTCCGACCCACCCTTGGCGGTCCTTCAGCGTCCTTCAGCGGCCTACACTTCTACGCAGCAAGATCTACTTCAAGCCCCCCCTTCGTTCACGCATGCTCTCTCTGCACTTTTCCGCCCACCTACCTCCTGGCCCCCGCTGGTCGCTCCCTCCTTCGAGCCTCTGGTCGTCGCTGGCCTCTCTGACATCGAAGCCACCTCCATCCTCCGTGCCTTGTCTACCTCCAACGCCCCGTCCGGCCGCTCCAGCCTTGTCTCCAAGTTCAAGCGCTGGTGGCGTTATTGCAGCACGGTGCCTTGCTCTCCGATCCCGGCACACCGGGGCAGGCTCCTGTTATACATTGCCGCCCTTCGTCAATCCGGGATCAGTGTATGCTCGGCCCCCCAGTACCTCGCGGCGATTACTACGGTCCACCGGTGGTTTGGCATCGACGACTGGTCAGCCACCTCTACTGCGTCCAATGCGATCCTCGCTTCGTGGCGTCTGGACATCGCGGATCACGAAGCTAGGGATCAGCCTACGCCCTTCTCTGCTGCAGCCCTCTCTCGCCTTCTCCACCTGGTCTCCGGCCACTCTCCGCTCCCCCAGTTGCGCGCTACGCTGCTCTTGGGGCTGGACTTCGCATTCTTCAACCGCGGCGATTCTACGTTCCCAATTACGGCTACCGATCTCGAGGTCTGCGAGGGCAAGATCGTCTTCCGCGAGGTGCGCTTCAAACGAAAGCGCAACGACCGGCTACAAAATCGGGTCCGGCAATTCGACGCTACGGGAGTCCCCCGCCTCCTCGCCATCCTCGAGGCTTACCGCGAAGCACGCCTCGCGGCGTTCGGCCCCACGCCCCCGCCCCAGTTCATTTGGCAGCTCCCCGGCGAATCTCCCCCACGCCCAGCCTGGGTCTCTACCATTTGTGCCCAGGCCACCGCGTGGTGGCCCTCCCTCTTCGACGGCGATCACCGCCACCACGAT